AGTGATAGATTCATGATTAGACATTCTAGTAAGACCCCAAAACTTTTTTTTTATGATACATAGCCTTATATATGCTCTCCATAAATTTACCATGAACTGGGAATCAAAATTCTTCGTAATGACTTTGCTTCTCCGTTACCTATTGATATGGTCATCTATTCTTTTACAAGATCACAGTGAGATTATATTTTTTAATGAGCTTTGTCACAGTCCTATCTTTTAAGAGAGAGCAAAGTTCTTTTTAAAATCAAAAAGTCTTTTCTTCTTGTGTTACTTAGGTTGCATCATGAATGTCTGTAATTTTGTAATTGTATACAATTTCCATACATATACTAGGAGTGCAAAATATCTAAGTCAACACGTCTTAAATGCAGAATATTTCACTCATCTTATTTAAAGAACAGAGAAATAATGAAATATTTTAACTATCAATTCTTAACATCTATTGCTATCTTTTCATTTACCATATGTTAGATCTATCGAAGCGTTCAAGTCACCCGACTGAGATACGCGCAAAACCGAAGTTTCAGAAACAACGATTTGTCCACAATAGCGGTTCTTTATTAAATAATATACAACATTTAGTTACAAACCTCAACTTGTGAGGTGTCTGGGGCGTTTAAACGCATCCTTCAAGCATGAAAATAAAAAGGCTTCTTGTAACAGTAACATAAAGAATAATTATAATATACGATAGTACAAAAGACAACCGATAGCTGTGTCTAAATTTGATAACAGTTTACAAACAACCGAAACCCGAACGAAGAGCAAACAATATGAAAACTGTTGCGTTTAACCAAATGCACAAAACTGTGGATAACCGCTACAGTGATTAAGGTACAGTCATTATAATGATAAATACAATGATAAGTACAATAAACGTTATAAGCGTATGTGAACATTTCAGAATATTACAGTACAACTTGCGTTACAACATAAGTAAATGTAAATAAGTAGTATAAAACAATATACAAAAGAGTGGAAAGGGCGGGAGTAGGAACAATATAATACAAACTTAACACCATCCTATTCCTTTCATCTTACGTTTTACTGTAAGACAACATCATTTTGAATTTCACTACTATTAATCTACTGTATTACTTTACTAACTTCATTCTTCTTGAGTCATATTTTGACCTTGTTAATTATTCGCTTATCAATTTTGACTATTTTTATGTAAGCGTATGCGTGTGCTGTTCTTATCCTATTCACCACATATTTGTAACTTATTTGTATCTGGCTATAAATATTGATTAACGTTTGATTAGATGGAGTTGGCTCACACGCCTTCTTTAGTGTGTGTTATTTCGCTTTTCTTTCTTCTCTTGACTTTTCCGATCTTTTGTATGAATCAACGATAATGTGAAATATACATATTCAAAATTCACTCTCGTGGATCAAGTCATCAATTATATACGAGGATAAAGGACATGTTTACTTTAATAATATTCATGCAATCTAATTGGAATCAGACATAGGGCCACTCAAAACAGTTTTGCATTTAAATGACTATTCATTAGCCTGAACATTAAAGGTATTTTTGATTATTATGATCCTTGAGAAAACTCTCTTTTCCGTTATTCAATCAAATTTTGAATATAATTATGGCAAATTATTTATAGAGGATTATTGACAGTATATAATCAGTTCAAGTAATTGTGTTCATGTTTAATATAGATAACCTTGTAGAGATAAGTTTTATTTAGTCAATTCACTAGATTTTCCTTAACAATATAATTGACGTTACTGTAAGTAACACTGAACTGCTACAACCATCATCAAAAAGGTACAAGTATTTATAAATAGTTGTCTACGCAAGATACTCAACATTCATTGGCCGGATACCATCAGCAACAGCCTACTGTAGGAGAGAGCAAACCAGATCCCAGCTGAAGAGGAAATTAGGAAAAGACGATGGAAATGAATAGGTCATACATTGCGAAAATCACCACACTGTATCGCAACACTAACCCTAATTTGGAATCCTGAGGGAAAGTGGAAAAGTATAAGGTCAAAGAACACATTACGTCAGGAAATAGAATCAGATATGAAAAGGATGAATAACAACTTGTAAGAGCTGGAGAGGGTTGTCCAAGACAAAGTCGGATGGAAAGTACTGATGGGCGGCTTATGCTCCTCCATGAAGAGTAACAAGCGTAATTAAGTAAGTAACATTAGAAAGAAAAAAGTAACGTGGATAAAAATGATGAAATCTGCCTTTGGTTAAGCTGACTATTGTAAATAGGATGTTATGCTTATTTGAGAAATTTTTACTGTTTTGGATAACATAATCATTGCTTACTTCAAGTAGACATAAATTATCCTGTTCAAAATATTTTAATATTATCAAACAAGAATATGAATAGATATCTGTCACAATACAATGATGTATAGGTTGAAATGGAATTATTAACAGCTACTTATACTCTTAACTTATATGATAAGTGCATTAATTTTAACTGATATGTTTGTATTATGATTCAATCGTTTACTGCTTGGACCTTAGTTGATCCCTATAATATATTAAGGTGTATAAAAGAAAATAGTATGATCTTAAAGTTAATAGCTATAGGACTAAGCTATGACTAAAGTATTAAGATTACGTAATATATCTTCTTTTGTCAACTGTTTATTGAATCAGTATGAGATTGTAGAAATTGTTGAATTTCATGGAAATTATGAACTGAACTATGTTAGATTACTTTTGAGAATGTAATAACATTGAACAGCTGAAGATAATAGAAGATGGTCGCACAAATTCGTAAATTAATTCAAATTAGATATTTATTAGTTTTACAATATAATTATAATATAGAGATAAACTAATCAAAGCCAAAACAATAGGGTTCATTTTTTGAGGGAAATTTAAAAGGGAATAAGATTTATTTTATATATTCATATAAGTGTCTTTATGATAGCCCTTACAAAATTCATTTTCTATTACCATAGAATGATAGTAATAGTGTACAGCACACATAAAAAAATAAAGAAAACTTACCTCTTTTTATGTAAATTATATATAACACATAAATTAATCAATCAGTTCATCGCTAATTTACTCAGTTTATAGTAAACCCTGGGAGATATTACTTCTTTTTTAATAAATAACTTACAGAAAAGAAAAATGAGCTACTAACTTTAGTCAGTCAGTCAATAACAACGTAGAACTTCGTAAGAACGTACATCAGTTCAAGTTGCCATACCACATTAGCACAGAGATACAGTTGTCGATTCAAATCCCATAGTGATAGAAGTAGTAAAAGTATAAGCAATAATTGGAAAGATTAGAGTTTGAAGATGTTATTCAATGAGTATAATCCAGTGAAATAAATTTGAAAAGAGAAAAAAAACAAGAGACATGAAGAATTCTAAATTAGATAACAACAATAACAACTTGTAATTGTTAATTATGTAATTAGTTTTTTTCATTAAAAATTTACCGGTCATAATAAAATAAAAATTTCATTTAAAATCATTAGAAAATTAGATATATCCTCACTATTCATCTTTTGATTCTTACCTAACTATTATACTAATGACTATTCATCAAAATATTTTATTAGTTCTTTCATCTTTTATTATGCAATATACCAACTATTTAAGTTTTAAATAATTACTTTGATTTAATAATTGAATTTATCAGTTAATTAAAATTAGATCCCATAGGATGGGATGTACAAGTATTTATAAATAGTTGTCTACGCAAGATACTCAACATTCATTGGCCGGATACCATCAGCAATAGCCTTCTGTGGGAGAGAACAAACCAACTTCCAGCTGAAGAAGAAATTAGGAAAAGACGATGGAAATGGATAGGACATACATTACGCAAATCGTCAAACTGCATCACGAGACAAGCCCTAACTTGGAATCCTGAAGGGAAGCGAACAAGAGGAAAGCCAAAGAACACATTGCGTCGGATAATAGAAGCAGATATGAAAACGATGAATTACAACTGGACGCAGCTAGAAAGGATTACCCAGGACAGGGTTGGATGGAGAATGCTGGTGAGCGGCCTATGCTCCTTCACGAGGAGTAACAGGCGTAAGTAAGTAAGTAAATAGGATGGGATCGTGGATGCACACGATTGAGGAGTCCCATACTAGGACGAAACAATCGTTTAATACTTCCAAATTTTCCAATAGTGATCTAGTTTTAATTGCCTCATGAATTCAATTTATAAATTACTAAAGAAAAAATCTCCACAAAATCTCATTCTAATAATTACTTTGATTATTATTATTGATCGTCTTTCTTCTAATTACGTAATATTAGTTTATAATTGATATGTCATTATATAATTATTAGATAAATTAAATTATTCTTTTATAATCATATTTCTTTATAGTGAATTATTCTCGATTCTACTGTTAAATTATATTCTATAAATGATTCATAGGATATATATATATATATATATATATATATATTAAACAATAAACTGTATTTTCTATTATCAGTTCACTAAACATAGTATGGTGCGTGCTACTTATATTGATATAAGTAGTATATAACGCGAGTCAAGAATGTAATGTCTAGCAGCAGAAGATGGCGGAAGATCAAGAAAGGAAGAGTGGGAATAGAAAGCAATGCAAGAACAACGAAGTTCCGGACAATTATTGAACATTTTGTAAATTAAGCATTATAGTATGGTTCTTTCTATTTTACCAAGTAACTCTGTAATTTTGTGCTAAATATAATTCGATTGTCCCCACTCGTGTTCTGTTCACTACAATAGCTATTAGTTATAATTATATACCTGATAATCAATATAATGGTTTGTTCTCTTTGCTTGCTACGTTTAAATGGTTTGAATAAATTTTTTTCGGGTTAGCGTTTTTTTCAAAATGGCGATTTCGTTTTCTACGGGATGGGGTCACTAACCCCATACCCAACCTTCCTCCTTTATCCAGGCTTGGAACCAGCAGTAGTCCCAGAAGGGTTTCAGTCGGAGTTATTTTTTTCTCTTTAAGAATAAATAAACAAAACAACACAAAATATTTTCCAGCGGTATAATAAAATTTAATTCAAATAAAATTACATTAATATTACAGGGAATATATTACTCATCTGAATCCATGTTAACCTTTGTTTTTTGTTTATTTTTTTAGAAAGAAAAATATACCCATTGAATCTTCATATAGTATCTCATGCATATATATATATGTATATATATTTGTATTATTTGCTAACTGTTTATGAGCTACGTGTTGTTTCTACCATTGGTATCGTTGAAAATGACGATAATGATGATGTTGTCTCTGGTATGATAGTAACAAGAGATGTTGTTGGTTTTACTGATTCTTTTTGTGAATTTTTAGTATTTTCTACTGATTCTAATGTAGACATTGAAGTTATTGTTTCTGTTGTCATCGTCATAGATGATGATGATGATGATGATAATGATGACATTGTTGTTGTTAGTTCTTCATCATGTTCCAATGAATCATCTGTAGAATTTAATGCTTCATGAAGTGCTTCATGAGAAATTACTGTCCAATTAGAATCATCATCATTATTAATACCAGATACTCTATAATCATAACCATTTGTAGTAGTATTTGAATCATCTATAACATTTTTCAATGGTAAACTAAATGTTATATGAAAAATTATAATGAAAATATATAAACAATTAAATGTATAGTAAAACATAATGATGAATAGAAAACTAGGATAATTTCATAATCTTACACAATGATCATTGTTGAATTAAATATCTTATATGACTTTACAAGTGATCACGTTTTAATGTAAATATGTGTAATATTGAATGAAACTACCAGCATAAATAAATAGTAATAATAATAATTAAATGTAAGTACGGGAATAATGTGGGTACAATAATTTAGTTTACAATGACATTGTATAAACATAAATCTTTTTATATATGTAAACTTTTATTCCCTTTGATTTATTCATTTTTATTATTAAGGGATAAGTATAATGTTTTTTTGACCGCAGATGCCTTAGAAATATTGCTGGCATCTGCTGGAATCACCGGGTATGTAATAGTGAGGTTAGACACAGATTATTACGGAATGGTGGTAAATCAGTTGATGAGGTTGTGAATCTTCATCGACTGAGATGGTTGGGTCACATGTTACGTATGCCTGAACACCGATTACCATGACGTGCAATGCTAACCGGTGTTGGAGATGGCTGGAAGAAAGTTAGGGGTGGCCAAACCAAAACGTGGCATCAGTGCTTGAAGTCACTAACTTCTAGTCTGAGCCATGTTGGTAGATGCAGACTACTTGGTTGTGGTCCGCGTGACTATCGTAACCAATGGTTGGAGACTATGGGTGACATGGCTCGGAATCGATCACAATGGTGTCGGTGTATACGCTTTTTGTCTTCCCTTAAACTGAGATTAAAATCGCTTCATATCTTTCTTTCTACGAACTAATTCTTTCTTCCTGTACTATATCCTTATTGCAACCTTTCTTTTATATATTACCGCCATTGAATTAACTACTTTTATGAATCCGGTGTTCATCTTGCTGTGTTGATGAGGTATGGCAACTTGGACTGATGCATATATGTGCCTTGTCCTACGTTGTAGCTGATTGACTGACTGATTGAATATATTGTTCAAATATTCTAAATCATTGAGATTAATGTGTTGAAATTTTATTATTTAAATATATCTTATTATTACTTTTTAGTTATATAATAACAAATATATTAAATATTCATGGTTTAATATACCTTATTGAACTATTCAACCTGTCATCAAAATAAACAAACAATAATGCAATTAATATCAGATGGGTTTTATGGATATTTTAGTAATTTTAATGGTTAAGATCATGAGTTAGTTGAAGCTAGACCGCTGGATGCCGGTTCAGTGGTCTAGTGGTTAAGTGCTCGTGCGCGAAACCTGGGTTCAAATCTCGTAGGGAGCGAGGTCGTGAATGCGCACTGCTGAGGAGTCCCATACTAGGACGAAACGACCGTCCAGTGCTTCCAGGTTTTCAATGGTGGTCTAGCTTCAACTGACTCATGATTTCAATCTGTGAAAATTTCTAAAACCTCCACAAACCCGTTCTGAAAATAATTATCAGTCAGTCAGTCAGTAACAACGTAGAACTTCGTACGTACGTACATCAGTTCGAATTGCCATACCACATTAGCACCAATAATTATAACTTTTGTTAATTCTTAATTTTAATTCTAAGTTAAAGTTGATTCTTTGAATTTCATCAGATCTACAATACTCTATGACTAGTTAATAAATAGCACTTATAATTAAAAGAAACACCATTTTGAGATCCCACAATGCCTGTACCATTCAAGACTCTTTGATAAACACAGTGTCGAAGGTCAATTTTCTCAGTGTTACCTTCTCCTCTGATCACTCTTCGTCTTCTCACGTTTTATTGTTATCGAAGAAGGTCTTCCATCTGACTAACTACATAAAGAGATTGCATACTCTTGGGGTTACTCGTCACTTACTCCTACAATTTGTCAATTCTTACATATTACCTATTATTACTTACTGTTCTCCATTATTCTTTCCTGGGATTTTAAGAAAAGACTTTACTGTATTGCGGAGAGTGCTGAAGGCACTTGGCAAGATGTGTGGTGAATCTTTCGAGGTCATAATTAATATGGTTGTGGATGGACATTTAAAGTCATGCAAACTCCTAGAGGTGTTATTTTATCAGATACTAACCATCCTCTTCACTCATACCTTTCTCCTTGTATATCTTCTGGTAGAACGAGACGTAATTACATTAAAATCCATGCACGCAAGCAAAAGTATAAAAGTTCTGTAATACCTTACCTAGCAAATATACTCTGTGACGAATAGGTTGTTAGAGTGAACCTAGTCACTAACTTGCATTCTTAATATGTCTCTAATTTGAAAAGTTGTACAATTTTTCGGTTTTTTCTAAAAACTTTTTTTTCCCTTTTTGTCTTTGTTTCTGCTTTTTGTGTAAGAAACTTGTTGAAATACCCTGTGCTGAGAATTCTATATTGTACCAAAATATAATATTGAATAAATCCATCAATAATAATAATAATAGTAAAGTAAACATAATTGAATTATAGAAGTCATGCGATTCATTTATGTAGTGGGATATTGTAAATTTATTAAGAATTCCACATTGATTTGCATTTTTCACCGATTGGCATACTCATGTTGGCAAGATTCAACTTGAATGTATGATATACCCATATGGATATATATATATCCTCAAAGTATATTAGTTCAACACCACCTAAGTGGCCGTTTATTGTAAGGACTACCTCATGAGTAGGAAAAGAGGATATTATACGTAATAGAATGCTGTACTGAACTAAGTTTTCAATAAAAATGTAGTGATTTGTTTAAATGTTAAAACATTCGGATGAAGCGTCCTAAATAGGACGAAGCTCACCCTCTGGATTCCCCCGTTTACTAACATCTATCTCAATTTAAATCGTTTTAACTTAATGGCAGTGTTGAGGTAATTTGCTCATAATGTACAATTTCCAATGGAAATTAATCGAAGTTCCCTCTTTAATACCAACGGGAACGTCCAAACATTGACAAAATGAATATTAATTAGGATTATACCAAATTTCTCAACCACGAGACATTTAAACACACTTTTATTTGCAAAAATCCTTAAAACAAACTTATAATACATTCCTATGGTAATCTGATTAAACTGGATTACTATTGTTGTTTATAATGTACCTGTACACTAATATTCCTTCATGTATCTGATACTTCACATATACAATAATGTGACTCATTTTATTGACCGAACTTAAACAGCAAGTTATATCCCATTATTAAACCGTCTCTATTAACTGTTATAAACAAATGCTAATTGATTATGGCAATAAAATAATGTAGTTGTGATATCTTAATAAATAAACATCTTGTTTTCTAACGCTTCGGGCCTTAGTGTACTTCATTTCTTCAGAAAATGAATAAGCAATTAAATTAACATAAGTTTAAATAATACAAAGGAATAAAGCAGGATATTCCGTATGAATCAAGCAGATGTGACCACATTAGTACCATATTATTCCAATCAAGTTGATTTCGTACGAGGCATATTCGTGCGTATAATAGTCAGTAAGAAGTGTTCCACCCATCTGTTCCTCTATTTTTTGAATCTTAGTGGTTGGCTTGCCTTCTTTGTCTTTGACTGGTCTCTCTGGTTCACTATATTTCCCTACTAGTTTCTTCGTTGTGTCATATATTTGTTTGATATTTCCTTCTGTTGCAGATTTTTTCGCTGTCTTCTACGTATTTCTGCTTGTCGGCTTTAATGCTCCTCTTCACTTGCTTGTTTGCTTCAGTCCATTCAGTTTTTGCCTTGATATTCTCTGCTCTTGTTCGACTGCAGTTGATTCCCATCGTCTCATTCTTCCTTTCTTGAAATATTTACGACTTGAAAAACAGGAATTTGATTATGACTAAATACTGGATCTGACGAGTAGCGTGAATTGAATTGTGATTTACAACTTGTACCAGACTGCTAATTTTGCAGAAATGGCTAACAACACGATTGAGATGTACGTGATATTGAGGTTCAAAACAATAATTTATCCAGAGGACGGTTCTATTATATATATGAAGTCGTTTGGCTTAAAATAACCATTCTGTAGGCGTCTTAGTTTATTACGATATTTAGCTGGTATATAAAATTCGTAAGGTTTACTTAACCTGTACGTTTTAAGAGCTACATAGGAATCTAAACAAGAGTTAGCGATCAGATAGAATCCGTCGATAGCACCCATGAGGCTATTACATGAAAAAAAGTTATCCCAGTCTAAAAGTTTAATCATTGAATGCAGGAGGTCCCAGTCAGCATGCTTATATTCTCTATAGTGACAGGTTTTTTGAATGGGTGGTTATAAGAGGGATAGATAGGAAGTGCAAAAACTACTATCTTATGGTCACTGCTTTCTAATTCATCGTATACTTTTACAGATATTGAGATAACATCTCTACTAAATATTAGATCGAGTATACTATCGCCTCTAGTTAGTGTACAAACCCACTGTGACCAGTAGTGCATGCCAAGAACTCATCATTACATGACTGACAACTAATGATTAACAACAAAAACAGTGGGAACTAAGAAGGCACAGAAAAGGAAACTTTTGCTCTAAAACTAAAACTCAAAGACTACACAAAAACTGGAAGTGACCATTATAAGGGTTGAGAGGATTTAATTACAATAATAAATACAGCAAATTTTATTGGTTTATGTAAGTAGTTTCAGCAATTATTAGAAATGTAACTGTTTACTGAATATTAGTAGGTAGTATAAAGCAATAAACAAAAAATGAGATTAATGATTTAAGACTGTTGATGAAGTGAAAACAAACTGAAGACATTAAAATTAAAACACGAATTTCAGCGAAGGGATCTCTTTTCAACGAATTTATTATCAAGCTGTACAATCGTATATATATGAAAATTTTTTTGATTTTGTAAAAGTACCTTTAATTATTATTATAACAAAAACATTTTAATCATTTTAATCATCTTATTATATTCATCAAATCTATTGTTATTGTTATTATTCATATTACGTAATCTATTATTATAACCTTTTTATTAACTGTGTTCACATTTCCTCACGGAATTAGTACTTTTACAAAATCAAAAAATTTTTCATATATATACGATTGTACAGCTTGATAATAAATTCGTTGAAAAGAGATCCCTTCGCTGAAATTCGTGTTTTAATTTTAATG